GTTAGAACTTTCCACTTTTCCACCTTTTCATGGTTGCATCTTTTTCTCAGTGTCTCTGTGGTGGTAGCCATGAATGAGACCCTGCCGGGTCTTCATGGCAGGGACATGATTGACAGAAGGCCCAGGTCAGTGCATTTCAAATTCACCAAGTCCTTTGCACAGAAAGCTTCCTTCCCACAGGCTCCCAGCAAGGGTGTGAAAGCAAGCCTAGTTCTCTGAGGCTCTGTTTAACTTTAATGGGAAACTGGTTGGAGGACTCCCCATCAACCATGCAAAAACTCTCTTAGAAATATATTAATACCTAAAACTTCTTTCTCTTTCTTTTTCACAGGAGTCAGGTTTGCATAGTGGTCTGTGAGTTCTCCCATACTACCTTCATGCCTGCCCCACATTCCCTCAGAGGTGTCTTCCCTGATAAATTATCTTATATGTCTAATCCCATCCTGGATGCATCTCAGTTGGTAAAAACTAACATACCAGGTTTGATTCTTTGCACTTAGTTTGTTTGCTTTCTCTCTCACAAGTAGTCAGGAACCATGTCCTAGTGTTTTATGTGTTACCTCTTTTTCTACATATATATGGAAACAGGTACTGTTGAGGGACACGTCCTATGTGCCAGGCCCTTTGTTAAATGCTTTACCTGTACTTCATTTAATTCACACAGTAACCCTGTCAAGTAGATAGTATTTCCATTTTGCCGATGAAAAGACAGAAGCTTAGAGTAGTGTAAAATCTTTCCTGGTGTCGTATGGCTAGTAATAGGTGGATCTGAGATTTGGTGCTGGGACTATTTGACCTCAAGACTAATGATGATGGTAGTAATATAGCAGCTGAGATTGGTTCGCCTGTGTGTGGCATCTTGTTTCATTGACTGCATGAAAGCTTTAAAAGAATGGTATGAAGCAAGCTCCCTCATACTTCAGGATTTGAAAGAAGAACAAACTAAACCCAAGCACAGTGAATGAAGGAAACAATAAGGATTAGAGTGGATAAAAATAAAATGGAGAATGGAAAAAAATAGAGTAAATTAATGAAACCAAAAGTTGATTCTTCAAGTTAAAATCAACAAAATTGACGACCATTAAGTAGACTGACTAAGAAAAAAGAGAGATTAAAATTACTAAAATGAGAAATGAAAATGGAGTCTGAGTATGACGGGTCATAGTTTAATCCTAGCACTTTGGAAGGTCACAATGGGAGGATTTCTTGAGGCCAGGTGTTTGAACCAGCATAGGTAACCTGGGGAGACCCAGTCTCTACAAAAAAAGAAACAAAAATCAATTAGCTGGGCATATTGGCATGCATCTGTATTCCTAGTATCTTGGGAGGCTGAAGAAGGAGAATTGCTTGAGCCCAGAAGGTTGAGGCTGTGGTAAGCCATAATCACACCACTGTATTTCAGCCTGGGCTAGCCTACAGAGTGAGAGCCTGTCTCTCTCTCTTACAGAAAGAAAGAAAGAAAGGAAAAAGAAAATGAAGTGATTACTACCAGTTCTAATAAAATGATTATGAAATTACTGGAAATAATTGTATTCTAATAAATTGGATAACCTAGATGAAATAGACAAATTCCTAGAAAAAGAAAAATATGAACAGAGCTATAATCAGTAATAAGATTGAATCAATGAAAGCATTTGATGAAATTCAATGTTTTTTCACAGTAACAACATTCTAACTAAGAATAGAAGGAAACCACCTCAACATAAAGGCAATATGTGAGAAACCCAATACTAACATCATACTCAATGGAGAAAGACTGAAAGTTTTCCCTGTATGAGCAGGCACAAGAGAAGGATGCTGCTTTTGACACTTCTATTCAATGTAGTATTGAAAAATCGAGTCAGAAAAATTAGGCGAGAATTTTTAAAAAGACATTCAAATTGGAAGAAAGAAGTAAAATTATTTCTGTTCGCAGATAACTTGAACTTACATGTAGAAAATCCTAAAGATGGAACAAACTTATTAGAATTAATAAATGAATTCAGTAATGTTGCACAATACAAAATCAGCATTCAAACATCAGTCGTATTTCAATACACTAACCATGAACAATCTGAAGGGAAATTAAGAACATATTTTTAATTTGTATTAATATCAAAAAGAATAAAATATTTTAGGAATAAGTTTAACCAAAGAGGAAAAATGATTATACCTGAAATCCATAAAATATTGCTTAATGATGACGTCAATAAATTGAAAAACATTTTGTTTTCATGATTTAGAAGACTCAATATTGTTAGGAGGACAATGCTACCCAAAGTGAGCTCCAGATTCAATACACTTCCTATCAGAATCTCAGTGACAGTTTTGCAGAAAAGAAAAATCTGTACTAAAATTTATATTGAATCTCATGACTCTAAATAGACAAACAACTTTGAAGAGGAAAAATGAAGCTGGAGGACTCACTCTTCCTGATTTCAGCATTTACTACAAAGCCCCAGTAACCAATACAGTGTGGTACTGGTATAAAGGAGGACATAGAAATTAATGAAATTGAACAGAGAGCCCAGAAAGAAATACTTGCATATATGACCAAATGATTTTCATCGAGTGTGCCAAGATCGTTCAATGGGGAAAGGACAGTATTCTCACCAAATGACATTGGGAAAGCTGGATATCCAAGGGCAAGAATGAGTGGAACCTTTACCTAACACCATATGCAAAAATTAACCCACAATAGATCAAAGATCTAAATGTAAGAGCAAAAACTATACCACTCCTAGAAGAAAAGGTAGAAGAAAATCTTTATGATATTGGATTTCACAATGATTCCTTGGTTGTAACAACAAAAGAATAGGCAACAAATAAAATGGATAAATTGGACTTCATAAAAATCAAAGCCTTTTATATATCTAAGAACATTATCAAGAAAGTAAAAAAGGAACCCATGAAATGAGAAAAATATTTGCAAATTATATGTGTGATACCTAATTAATTTCTAGAATACATGAAAAACCAGAAGTCAACAACAGCAAACATCCAAAAACCCAATTAAAAAATGAACAAAGGATTAAAATAGTTTTCACCAGGGAAGATATACAAATATCCCATAAGTCCACGCAAAGTTCCTCAGCGTCACGAATACTTAGAGATATGCAAATCAAAACCACAATGTGACACCATCTCACACACTTTAGGATGGCTTTGATAAACAACAATAATAACAGCAACATAAAACAACAAGTGTTTTCAAATAGATGGAAAAATTGGAGCTCTAGTGCATTGCTGATGGGAATGGGAAAGTTACAGCCACTGTAAAAAGTGGTGTGGCTGTTTCTCAAAAAATGTAAACAATAAATTACCATTTGATCCAGCAATTCCACTTCTAGACATACTCCCTAAAGAATTAAAAGAAATTTGAACAAATGTTTGCACATTGATGTTCAGAGAAGCATTACTCACAATAGCAAAAAAATGGAAACAACGGAAAGTCCATTGAAAGATAAGTGGGTAGGCAAATGAGGTGTATCTATACATCAAAATGTTATTCAACCTTAACAAGGAATAAAATTCCAATACATCGTGCAAAATGGATGAACCTTGAAGACATTATGCTAACTGAAATAAGCCAGACACAAAAGGATAATTATTTTATAATTCCATTTATAAAAGATAGAATAGCCAGTTACATAGAGACAGAAAGTAGAATGGTGGGTACTAAGGCTTAGGGGGAGAAGGAGTGAGAGTTACTGTTTATTGGGTACAGAGGTTTAATATGGTAAAAGGAAAAAGTTCTGGAAATGGATAGTGTGATGGTTACACAACACTAAATTGCACACTTAGAAATAGTTAATGATAAGTCTTATAATAGATATATATATAAGTGTCCTGGTAGTCTTATACTCTATAAATATACACTTTCTGGCATTGCCCCTTTCCTGCCATGCAGAGCCCCAGAGGTGAATCTCCCTATTTCTCCAAGTGTGCATCACTCATTGTCCTCTGTGCTGTGTCCCACGTGCTGTGCCCACAGCCTTATATAGCTGGTGACTTCAGAGCCAGGATACAACTCCAGAGTCTGCCCGGAGGCTCCCTCTCTTCTTATTTCCCTGTAGCCTAGGCTTCATTTCAACCGGCAGCTCAATTTAGCCGAATTCAGGACAGGCCATCAGGGGTCTTTCTCCACACATGCTGTTCCCACCCCAGTGAGACCCACCCCAGTGGAGTCAGGAAGGGCCAGTCACTGGAGAAGCCTGGAGCAGAGGACGCAGCAATCTGAGCTGCTCCTCTCTCATCCAAGGGGCTTCCTCCTCTCATTTGGGGGAAAAATGTGAGCTTGTTTCGAAGCCTCAGATGTTCTTTGTAGCACATGGAGCAAGTAAAAGAAAACAAAGACGTCGCAGAAAGGGATGTGTTGGAGACAGCGAGAAGCAACTTGATCTTGAGGACTCTCCTTCTTGTCCCTCTATGAAGCCTCTTCCACCACATAGGGCTCAGGACTGACAAAGCCCCCTCCCTACCCTTCTCAGACTGGACACAAGGTCAGCCATGAGAAAACAGAGAAACAAGAAGAAGAGAGACTGTAGAGACAAATTGAGAGGGTTCAGGAGGAGAATTTAGGATTTGCTTCTGCCCATGGGACACAGGTTGGGAATAAAAATGTTTTCCTGACTCTTCTCTGAAAGCCAGATAGACTTCACCTAAAACCCTATTGCCAATGATGCAGGGATCCACTTACCAGAGACTATGACCATCTTGAATGTGGAACATTCCCTGCCAGTGGCTGAGTTACGAGCAGAGCAACCATAGATCCCGTTATGCTTTGTACTAATTTGGGGGATAAAGAGCTCTTGTCCTGATTGCACAAACTTCCCATTAATCATCCAAGAATACTCTGCCGGTGGGTTAGAGTTCGCGAAGCAGGACAAGTAGAGGTTATCTCCTGAACGGTAATCCGTGAATGAAGGGAAAATCCTGGGGAAGTCTGCACCATCTGGAGTAAAGAGAATAAAACCACAGGTGATGTCGTCCAAGGGAAGGGGATGCGCCTGGTCTCTCAAAGGGACACAGTGTCCCTCTGAGCCAAGACACACCCTCAAGGCCCAGCCAAACCCCTTCTGTGTTCACTGAGCAGAGGCCTGAGGTATTCACGTGTTTCTCCCATCACAGGCTGTAGACCCCAAGTCTCCCATGACAAGAGCAGCCCCTCCCTTTATATTCTTGCTTAAGGCTGTGCCTAGCCAAGTTTTCCCAGGGCAGGGAGTCATGGCCAGCCCTGGTGTCCAGAAATAAAATTGTCTGTACTTGAACCTGAGAGAGACTGAGATGCCTGGCCTCTGGTCGCTTGGAGTTTTGCTGGTGGCCTGGTCCACAGAGGAACCAAAGATAAAAAGGACATCCAGGATGACTGGGTCACTGCAGATGCTACCAACTCGGTCCCGTATTTCACATTCATAGGGTCCTGTTCATTTCTTGTGACATTGGCTAGAATGAGGATCCTGTTTTTACCGGGTTGCTTTAGCCTGGGACTGACCGGGAGGCTCTGACCATTTACCCACCACACATAGGTGTAGCCCTGAGTCTTAGGTACACAAGTTAAGGATACATCATTCTTGTTCTCCATGGGGTTGAAATTGTTGCTGGTGATGTAGGGCTTGGGCAACTCCGCTGGGTGGATAACAGAGAGAAGATTGTCCTGTGTGGCACCTTTGATTCCTCCACAGACATCCTTCAATCAGAGTTGGCATCTCCCACCTCTCAGCCCACCCGAGTCCTTGAAAGTCAATAGCTGGTGCGTGTGTCACAAGACAGACGTATGATGATCTAAGGGCTCAAAGACTATGAGGCTGCCTGCTCTGTCTTAGGGTAGCACAGACTTTCTGAAGCGTGAATTGAGCAGCAGTGTTGGGTCATGGACAAACATGTCAGTGGGAGTCACAGCCCCTGGTACACCTCCCAGTCCCTCTCTAATCCACTGACTGGCTGGCTCACCTTGGACTCCTTACCTGGAATGTGCAACTGCTGGGTCCCTTCCAAATTCCATCCTACTTTGCCCCCCTAGATGTGATTTCTCTGCAGCTTCCATTTCCAAAGACATTCTAGAGATGAGTAATAATGGGACTTCCCATTGTCCTGAAACCCTAAGATACTGAACAGCCTGGCCTGGAACTGAATGTTTCAGCAGAAATAAGGCATGGGAGACCAGAGTCAAACCTGGAGGTCAGTTCAGTCCTCAGGCAGTGGAGGTACAAGGTGGGGTAGTTTTTTGCAGGTGTTTCATGATGACTTACTTGAGCCAGTGACCTCCAAAGATAGAACAGAGTGTAAGGAATGATCTAGAAAGAGTGAAGGGGACAGGCAAAAGCTGGTCGTTTTGGAGCAGAAACATATTCCCTGTCCTGGGTTTTTTATTTCCTTCTCCCTCTGCAGAGGGCAGGTGGTTCTTCCTTGATAGCCAGATAGACTTCACTGGAAAACATATGGCCAATGCTCCATGGATCCACTTACCAGGAACTAAGATACTCTTAATGATGAGATTTGTTCCATCAGTAACTGGGTTATGGATGAAACAGACATAGGCCATTCTATATGTTTTAGTGATTTGGGGGATAAAGAACACTTTTGCTGATTGCTGCAACTTCCCATCAATCAGCCAAGAATGCTCTGCCAGTGGGTGAGAGTCTGTGAGGCAGGAGAGCTTGGGGACTTCCACTGGATGGTAATAGGTGTATGAAGAAGAAATGGTGGGGGTATCTAGGCCATCTTGAGCAGAAAATAAAGTCACAGC